GAAGGAAAAGGTGAAAAAAAGACTAAAACAGGGCACCTGGGTGGCTCAGTGTGTTAAGCCTCTGCCTTTGGCTCAGGTCATGATCTCAGGGTCCTGGGATTGAGTCCCGCTCTCTGCTCAGCGGGGAGCCTGTTTCCTCCCCTCTCTCTCTCTCTCTCTCTCTCTCTGCCTGCCTCTCTGCCTACTTGTGATCTCTCTGTGTCAAATAAATAAATTAATTTTAAAAAAAAAGACTAAAACAAGGTACCATCCACCCTGTAAGGGTGCTGTGACATAGCAATACCCTCATATGGGAGGACCCAACATAGCACCAGTTCTGGCCCATTCTAGGTGCTCAGAGGATTGTTACTGCCTGTACATTTCTATGTCTGCTGGGATGTGTTTCTCTGGGAAGTCATTAAATCTACAAAAGTGTCAGAACCACCTAGGCTAACTTACATGTTGTGTCCTTTTTACTGACTTTTCTCTGCCCAAGATTCAAGCCAACCCCATCCTGACATCTCTGGGTTTTCTATTCATTCTCTCTCTCTCTCTCTTCTTTCCTTCCTCCCCTGCCCCAACCCTTACTTTGAAGCTTTCTCACTTTTCTTAACCATAGTCCATACAGCTGGACTTTCAGACCTGTCACCAACACATGAGATTTTGCTTATGGTCACTTCAAATGATCCCAGACCATCTGGTGTTCCTGTTGGGTTTCTCTGCTGTTCCTCTTCTTTTAAAGATACTGTTAGAAAGCATCCAGAGGCAGGTTATTCTGGATCCTTAAGATCTACCCCAAGAAGAGGTACCACTTTAAGTTAGGGGCCTAGGCTGCAGTTCTGGGTCCTGAGTCCACAACCTCACTGACCCTGGGTGCTGTTTTCTACCTGGCATGTCGAGAGCCAGCCTTTAGCAAAGTCTAGACAGAAGAGGTCCTAGCACCTCAGTCCTAGCAGGAAGCATTGAGTCTTCTCTCTCAGCTTTCAAACCTCCTCATTTATGGATTCTTCTCAAGATCTCTGTGTCCCTGGGAAAGGGGAGAGGCTCCTGGCCATGGCTGCACAGTTTGTTTTCACTGATCTCTCAGGACCCCACCCTCCCCATTCCTACCCCATGCTCCTCATTACTCACAGCTTGCAGGAGCCTTAACCAACCAAACCCCCACTTCCTCTATCCTCTCCTCTTAAAATATGCAGAGCCACTGTTTGGTTTTCTTAAAAGCTTCCAACTTGCCAATCAGTTAAGTTAAGCCATGTTTCTGCGCTAATGAGAAAGAACCAGAAAAAGGCCCAAGGAGAAAATATTTGCAATACACATGAAAAAGTGTTGTTGTCTACTGTGTATAAAGAGCTCAAATAAATCAATAAGAAAAACATTAACCACCCTTCTGAATGAGAAACAGCATGAACAAAATATTCACCCAAAAGAACATGCAATTTCTAAATAAGCATATGACAGTACATTGAATCCCACTAGTAATCAACAAAATGCAAAGTCAAATAATTACATATTTCCCATATACAGAATTATCAATATTTAAAATCTAAAGCTTGATTCTGGCAAGAAGCTCTGAGATGAACACTTGGTTGGGGAGAATATAAATTGCTACAGCCACAACTCATGAATGTATCAGAAGCCTGAAACATAGTCTCATAACCTTTGATCCAGTTGTTCCATTACTGGAATACAAACTAAGGTAAAAATATGAACGGCATATATTTATGTTCATATGGTTTATCATAGCAAAGAAAAGGAAGCAACTTAGTAATTAAAACAAATTAAAGAGCTTTTGTACTTTTATATGGGAAAATGGTCATGGTATAATGTTTGGTAGTGAAAACTCGGTGCTTAAAATCACATATTCAGTAACATCTCAGAGCTATAAAGCAAATGTCCACAAGTGTGTAAGAGACTAGAAAAAAATGAACCTGAATGTTCTAGATATTATGAGCAGTTGATAGAGTTTGGGATTTTTTTTTTCACATTTCCGTTACTTTAAAAAAAAAAAAGGAACATCAAAAAAAGAACTTTGATACAGGGCAAAACTTTTAATTAGAGATTTTATAGGATCCAAGGAAAATCTGCCTGCCTCTATGTGTAAGAGCTCACAGACAGGGATTGCAGTAGGGCCCCTTCAAGAAGGAACAAGCACTGAGTATGTGTTTGTTTAGGTGTGGATAAAGTGGGCAGGGATGCCCCTCTCATGGGCAACCCTTGCTGGATGTAGTTCTGGGAAGGAAGTAGAAATTCCCCTCTGGGACTCCATCACACCCTGTCACTCTGTGGGGAGCTCAGTAGCTTACACCAGCCACATCCTGCACACATTACTGAGGCTGCTGCCTTGGCTGCACTTCCTCAGACAAATTCTTGTAACTGCTCCCAACCTCCATTTTGTCAGTTTTAAAATGGGCCTTTGGCAATATCCTCTTCGATGGTATTTATGGGAATTAAATGAGATAACAGTTTTATTGTTATAAGATATAGCTGAGTTCTTGCTACTCCATTAATTAGTATCCAGACACACTGCATTTCTGTGACTTAACATCAGACTTTTACCATATAATCTAATTTTTCATATACTTATTTTGTCTTCTCAAAATGTGCCTCATTTCTTTAAAATTAAACACTTCCATGGTTAAATCCTCTAAAATATCAAATGTTTCCCTACAAGCTAAACAACCACTCACCATTAAACCCTATTTATCTTCTTTTCAGAATGGCTTTGGATCCTTACTATAAACGTGCCCATCAAGGGAAGGGGACCAATCTCTCCAATAACTTAAACTTAATATCTTTAAGCTATTTGCTAAGATGTTGTATTATCACATTATTTTTTTAAAGGTTTTATTTATTTATGACAGAGAGAGATAGCGAGAGAGGGAACACAAGCAAGGGGGGGCCAGGAGAGGAAGCAGGTTCCTCACTGAGCAGGGAGCCCGATATGGGGCTCGATTCCAGGACCCTGGGATCAGGACCTGACCTGAAGGCAGACGCTTAACCCACTGAGCCACCCAGGTACCCCTCACATTACTATCTAAAGTATTAGTCACAACAACCTAACTTTGCAGGTTGTTCCAGTTTCACAGATGAAAAAACTGAGGCTCAGAGAAGTTAAATAAAATGCCAACAGTCAGCCCCATGAAAGGCAGTGGAGACTCAAACCGAGATGGAGTCCTAAAGCCCTGGTTCCTTGCCAGCCCATGATCCAGCACATCCTCCATTTATGGCTGAATCCAAGAAGCTTTAATTGTATAATAAATGCTACTTTGTTTTTGTATCTGACCTTATCGTTTACGGAATTTTCTACCTTTCTTTAGTTAGTTCTTTGGCTTCCTCCTTGTAAGGAATTCTTGTTATATTCTGGTGTTTTTAACCCACCCTACTGTGAGAAATGACATAAGCAGACATCTTATGATTATGTCTAAAGGCCAGTTGCCTATCAGTGAGCCTTGAGAAGTCTTCCCATAACTGAGGTGCAATAACCCGGAGACATGTTCTTTGGTTACCTATTGGCTCTTTTGGCTTCCTTCCAGCTCCCCAGTTGCATTTCAGATAATTGAAGTTGTTTAATTTATGAATTCTGAAACAGGAGATACTATTAGCCAACATGGATCTATAAGTACTACAAAACGAAATGCTGAACTGTTGCAAGTTTCTAGTAAATGCCTACTCTGTCCCACTGTTATCTTATAGACATTGCTTCTGCAAAACTCTGGAATTCAAGTGTTCTTGTCCCCATTTTCTAAGCGAAGAAATGGAGACTCAAAAGTTTCCACACCTGGTCAAGAGTGCTCTGTGAATAGTTCCCTTCACATCAACATATATATGTCCATCCTGGAAGTTTCACTAAATATTGACTAGCAGTGTCAATTCTTCATTAACTAACTAAAGAGAATTATGAACACTTGCCCACTGTGTCAAACAGGCAGTCCTGATAATAATGTCTGGATTTGGTCCAGCCCACACAGAATTGGGAAAGTTGTCTGTGCTGCACACCTCCAGGGGGCAACCTTACATTGCCTTCAACCTGGATGGTACTCCCAAGGGCACCACATTGTGCAGACATCTGGAATGCAGCCCTGGGACTGCAGCAGAACAACCTTAATGGGAGAAGCCAGGAGGGTGTCAGCAGTGCACTGGAGGACTGTCAAGTAAACAATGAAAAGCCCCACAGGAAGGACCAGCCATCAGACATGAGAAGTGCAGGGTGTCTCTTGGGTCTGAGAGTTCAACAGGGGTGCCATGGTCTCAAATTCCCTGCCCTTCTCTCGGGCATGGAGAGGGAAGAGATAAAATGCTACATATAACATAGCATTCTTTCTGGGTGATGTAGGTAGACTCCATTTAACTAACCAGAGTGTCAAAATCCACTTCAAGTTTTTAATTGCCTAAGTGAAGACATTACAAACTCTACTATGTCTGGAAGCCTCAGACAGAAGTGATCCAAATAAATCACATGGTCTTTGCCCAAGCAATCCCTTTTTCTAAGAATCTTTTCCAAACACTAGCCCACAGACTGGGACAGTGCCCTTGAGGGGCCAGCCATGCAGGGATTTCCCAGGCCACTAAGACCCTCAGTGGTGAGAGGCCATGCTGCTCTGGAGTGACCAAGCAGCCAGCCAAGATTCATATAGGTCTGCCCCTATTTGGTCACCGGCCCTGACTGTGCTGGGACAGGCCCTCTTGTCATATTTGGGAGTTTTTCAGTCCACACACACGGGAATTCACCACAACCTCTGAGTCTGGTAGCTGCAGATGGAAACAGAAACGTGGTTAGAAAAATGTGATTCTTGCGCAGGAAAGTTGGAACAGAGAAGAGTTTGGACGTGGGCGGGAGTGTGTGTTGAAAAAAAGAAAGAGAAAGAAAGAAAGAAAGAAAGAAGGAAGGAAGGAAGGAAGGAGAGAGAGAGAGAGAGAGAGAGAGAGAGAAAGAAAAGAAAGAAAGAAAGAAAGAAAGAAAGAAAGAAAGAAAGAAAGAAAGAAAGAAAGAAAGAGAGAAAGAAAGAGAGAAAGAAAGAAACTAAGAAAGAAAGAAAGAAAGAAACTAAGAAAGAAAAGGGTGGAAACCCCACCAGCCAAGTCTGCAGAAAAAAAATAAATGAAGTCTGCCTATCTCGGGCCGGAGCCCCTCCCCTCGGCCCGCGCCAGAGGAGCGTGACACAGGTGCCGCTTCCTCCCCGCCGCTGAGGGTCAGGAGCCGGCCGGCGCGACCCTCGCCACCGCTCCGCTGTCCCTTCGGCCCCTGGTCCCGCTGGCGCCCCGCACCCGTCGGCGATGAACAGCGTCAATGGCACGTCGCGGCCCAGCTTTGGTGAGTACCCGCCGCCCGTGGGGGTCCGCTTCTCCGCGGGGTCCCCGGGACCCCACTCCTGGCTGGGCCCACGGGGGCCAGGAGCTCGGGCCCAGAGACGGGACCGCAGTCCGGTCCCGGGCATCGCCGGGTCGCGCCCGGAGCCCCCGAGCTCTGCGCCCCGGGGTCTGGAGAGGCCGCCCGGCCACCGCCGCCCGGCGCGCCGCCGGCTCTCTACGTCTTTGTGCGGTGGCCGCCGAGTCTGTGCCGCAGGAACCGGCCCCTAGACTAGTAAGTGAAGGACCTACTGGGAGGGAGAGGACGTCGTACACTCTGCTCGGCGGCCCAGGACGCGGGGGCGGACTCGGAGTAAACTTCAGTAAACTCTGCCGATGCCCTGACTCACTCTCCACACATGGCGGAGGCATTGACCTTTTGGGGCGTTGTAATTCCTCTTTCTTTTTAAGACGGCACATGCTTTCCTGCTGACGGGAAATCTTATACCCTGAGCTTCTTTGTGAGAATGTTGGGAAACTTTGCCAGGCCTCCCCTATGCCCTCCTCGACCAGTGGGCTTCTGCAATAAAAAAACTAAAATTTCCTTTTTAAAACAGTGAATGTTTATCCCTTCTATCCCCACCCTGGCTAGATCTGGTCCTTAGAAACTGTCAGAGGGGAGACATTCGGAGTCTATAGTGTAATCACGTTAGGTAATTAATATGATAATAATATGGGTACTAGAGACACTCATTTACAAGTCTTTTAAATCCAGGTGGTTGTGTGGCCTCACCACCGGACCTTGAGCATAGTGGATTGTGGCTAGATGCCTGTGTTTGCATGCCCATGCTTGTGCTGGTGAGGGTACTCAGAGGGTCTGGGTGCTGCGGGCGGATGACAGTCCTGGAGTGAGGCGCTGCGGGAGGACGACAGTCCTGGAGTGAGGGCCCCGCTGCCTGCTATGGGATCAGATGTGCCACCCATTAGCCAGGTGCCTGCAGCAAGCTAGTCTCTCTTAGCTCCAGCTTCATCATCTGCAAAATGGGAATAATAGGGTATTCTTCCTTGTGTTGTGAGAATTAAGAGCTTGTAAATGGTTCAGCACAGAGATTGACACATAAATGTCAGGCATTTTTGTTTTCATTTTACACTAGACTGGGTCCGGAAGCTCATGTGCATTAGTGTGTGCATGTGTGTTTCTGTGAGTGTGTGGGAGTCAGACACTAATGAACTTAGTATGTGTGTGTCTGGGCCAGGTTGAAAGGCAAAGCCACTGTAATCATTCCGGTAGAGGCGCTGAGGAAGTGCAGGCCTGCGGCCATTACCTTGGCTGGAGAAGACAGGCTTGTTCACCAGGAACCCTACCCCTGCCCTCTCTCTCTAGCAGTTCTCTAGGAGTCAAGTTTCAGACCTTGACCAAGGGCTGCAGACACTTCCCTTCTGGAGCTCACAGGGATGCAGCCCTTACTTCCATATCATTCTAGATTACCCTTAGGATTTGATTTACAGCAGGCTCTTTGCTATAAGAGAACCCTGGAGCCCTCTTTCTTGCTGCTAATTCAGGCAGGATGTGTCTATATCCGGTCTCAGTTTACATCGCTGCTTCTCAGAAGCAGAGGTTGGAATGGAGAAGACCCTCTGCTCCTGCCCAATCAGTCCTGCCCTACCCCTCTGGTCTCAGCCAACTCCTGTAAGTCTGAATGCCCCAGGTACTGCAAATGAGTCATGTGCAGAAATCCACTGCCTTGCCCTTGGATGGAAGGGGTCAACGCTCAGTGAGGAGATAGTCAGGTTTGTCAACTTTATATAGATTTCACTGCTTCTGGCAGAAGCTGAAAGGATTACATTAAGTTCCAAATGAAATTCCATCTCAACTATTGCTCAACCCCTCCAGATATCCACAGCAGTAGGAGTCACATGGCATTGGCACCATCAGCAGCTGGACCTTTCCAAGGGTGCCCATGGTTGGGCAACAGTTTCTGGGGACTTGCAGTGCACCTTGGGAAACAGAGGGGTATAGGATAAGAGGCATTCTGTGTTTGCAGTGGAAGCACATCAGCCCATCTACAATGAGAAGGAAGAGGCAGCAGAGGGAGGTGGCAAGCCATATCAGTTTTCCTCTTTTGGATGGCAGATATAGGTACATATTTCAAATGGCCTTTTGCAGCCACATCCAAAACCCCTTCCAGAGACTATGTGAGTACAATGGAGCCAACAAGTACAAGCTAAAAACAAATCTGAACACTGAATCAAGAGTTAATAATAGGAAAGAAAATGATACCATCCCACTTCGAGAGCAATTTATTGATTTATGAGAAGCCTTCTAGAACTATTGTATGTATGTACAATTACTTTTTGTTTTACAAAATGAAGCTTCTTTTATATATTCTACTTCATCTTGCTTTTTTCATAAGAATATATGCTGAAGATCAGAAGTTTTCATCATATATAGACTAACTCATTCTTCTCAGGGCTGTATGCATATGAATTGCATGAATAAATAAATGAATTATTTTATTTAAGCAGTTCCTTCATCAATGGACATTTAGATTGTGGACAATCATTTTTTTTTTAAACCAGACACAGTGCTGTCATTACAACCCTTTAAGTAGGGTTTATGAATTTACACATATATGTGTAAATATATGTGTTTTTATATGATTAGGATAAATATACACACACAGATTTAATTTCTGGGACAAAGAGTGTGAACATTTAAAATGTTGGTAGATACTAAAAAATTGCCCTCTAAAAGGTCACATGAATCTCTAACACCCACCAGTAGCCAATGGAAGTCATTCTTTCCTCACACCCTCATTCACACTGTGCAGTTTATATCTTAGCAAATCTGGTAAGTAAAACATGTTGTCACTTCTGAATGTGCCTCTGTAATTATAAGTGAGGTTGTGCATGGTTTTTGCTTGTTTGTTTTTAAAAGATTTTATTTATCTGTTTGAGAGAGAAAGCACAAGCAGGAGGAGGAGTAGAGGGAGAGAGACAAACAGGCTCCACAATGGGGACTGCAGTTCCATCTTAGGATCCTGAGATCATGACCTGAGCTGAAATCAAGCTCAGGTCATGAGCCTGACTTGGCTCATGGCTCATGACTGAGCCACCCAAGTGCTTCCCCACCTTTTTAAAGATTTTATTTATTTATCTGAGAGAGGAGGTTGAGCATGTTTTCCTACCTCCACAACATATTGTATTTCTTCTTCTGAGAAGTACCTGTTCGTGGCCTTTCCTCCAAGGCCCCCCCACCACCAGGGAAGAAGTTTATGAGGTATCCTCTCTCTTATAGTGACCTGGAGGCAGAGCAGGGCTTGAGCCCCACAGTCAGAGCTGTGGAGTCAGACCTGAGTTTGGACTCACCTCCAACACTTGCAGGCTTTGAGGAGGCACACAATATGTCAGAGCCTCAGTTTTCTCATCTGAAAGTGGGAATAGTAACAGCTACTTCCCAGGAGTCATGTGACGAACAAGAGAATAAGGGCTTGGCATCCTGCCCAGGAATAGTGGTATCTTTGGCTGTTGTTGTTAACAGAATTTATCAAAGCAAACCTGTCCTGCGGGTGTTCCTAATCTCTAGAGTCTCCCTTACAGACAGCTGCTGTTTTTTCTTTTGATAATATAATAAGAATATCAATACCTAGATGCCAAACACTTTACTAAGGCCTTGCGTGGGTCACCTCTCCTCAGCCTGGTCCCATGGGCATTTTCTTAACTATTTTGCACAGGAAACACTGGAGCCTCAGAGGATGGCTTACCCCAGGGTTCCCAGGCACTGAGGGCACAGGGCTGTGGACATAGGCTGTCAGACCCCAGAGCCAGCAGAGGCCAGCCGAGGGGTACTTAGGGTGCATGTGGACAGGACATTTTGCCACCCAGTACCATGGGGGCTGTGCCTGGGAAACTGCACTGTAGCTTTGCACACAAAGGACCTGTGTGTGGCACAGATCCTCAGAACCTACCAACCATCCCACGGCTCTTCAGCCAGGCCTGTGTTCTAACCTCAGTGTACCACTGTCCACGGTGTTGTAGTTGGGCCTGACCCACACCAGGTCAGCGGCTGCCCTTCATCATGCCTTCCACAGCCTGCTAGGGTGGTCCTCTAGAACCCTCTCTTATGGCCTTTCCTGATGCCCAGGATGGCTCTGCTTCTCCAGCTTCACCTCCAGTGCTCTCTGGGTGCTCCTGCACACACATATGCAAGCACAAGTACACACACATGTTCACACCCACACACACTGCCTGCTGCCTTACTCCTGCTCATCCCCTAAGACCTGGGTTATTCCCCCGAAGCTCCCTGGGCCCACCCTGAACACCAGAAAACCACTCACCATGGCCCTAAGGACACTGCAGCACCAACAAATTCCTGGAGTTGTCCCTTTCCTGGAAATTCTGACCTCCCAAGGGACTCCATCACCCCACATGCCCCCTCCTTGGAGTCTGGCACAGAGAGGTGAAAGCTCCCAGGCCTGTGTCCATTCCACACGCTGGAAACCCCTTTTAAAAATCACACATTCAGTAGCTGTGTCTAGAACTTGGCACATACATGGAGATCAGTGAATAATAAGCTAAAATGGACAGAAAGTCAAAACGAAACAAACTCTGAAATCAGGGTTGCTGGCCCTAGGCCTCACTACCTCGCTGTCTCCTACTCCCATACTGATTCTTATTTCATATTCTCCCCTAGAGATCACCATGTAATCTGAACTTGTGAGGGAGTGCTGGCTCCTGCCCTTCATTATTAGGCATTTTCGTTTTTGTACATTCTTCCAGTATAAATAATGTGCAAAATCATAGCATGGCACATGCTGATGAGAGCAGGTTTCCTCTTGTGCCAGCAGGAGCTGAGTCCAAGACATGGGGTTCTATCACAGGCTGGTGGGCTCAGCAGGGCCCTTGCATGACTCCCAGAGAACGTGCAGGGTTGTCACACCCCGCATCTTGTTGCTCAGACTACAACAGCAGAGTAGGACTTATGACCCACCTGCGTAGCACTGTGCCCTGCCCTTTCTCCTGACC